GGGTGCATTCGAGCAGGAAGTATTCTGAAATTTGCGGTCAAGAGCAGAAAATTTGAAAAACCCTCGTTCTAAAGTTTTCATTCCAGTTTATATAAACTCGCGTATCTATAACGAACGCTTTATTGCTAAGCACAGTAATAATTGCAAAGGGTAATGTCGCTTTTGTGTTGCTGATAATAATTTTGTAATTTTTTCTTCGTACGAGTTACAGACACATTGTAAACCATAGCTAATGGAATATTCAACGACAAAAGTGTGCAGGAGAATTCACCGAATGTTCCCACAATTTTTTCTTCTAGATTAAAACTAACCTTGCGCATAGGCGTATGAAACGAACAATATCTTCCACAGAGCAGCAAATGTAGTGGACATGATTTTGACATCAACTTTATCACTTTTTTCGTCACTCTCGAGGAGATCAACAGCTCTGCTTACAACCTGGATTTTAAAAATAAAATCATTATTGGGATGACAGCTGAAAAATTAATTGTGAAAACAATAGTAGAACCACGCTAACTCGAACACAGCTAACTGAAACCCCCCAGTAACTCAAACAAGATCCCGTTGCCCTCGGTTCCAACTCTTCCCTTATTTACTACCTACGCCCCGCTAGCTCGAACCGTTTTTTGTTTTCCTTGAAACTTCTAGTTCGCTGGGTTTTTCTGTACTTCCTTTTCGGCAAGGCCTCAAAGTGTTGTCGCTGTATGCTAATTTGTTACCTAATGATTGAATACAGATCACTTTGCATCACAAAATTTCAAATCTTTTGCACCTATCACAAAACGTTTATAACTGATCGGCTCAAATGGAGGGAAAACTACTTGCAGAGTCCCTTTAAGGTAGCTGCTGAAAATTTAGTCGCACGGAAGCCAACGGTCTCGTTACACGAGCGTGCACGTATCTGAAAACATGACAATTCCTGATAATTTTTGACAATTTGTAAACCGTTTAACAAACTTGCCACAAGGAAAAGCCATTGACACCTGCTTCCTGTTGTGCGCATCCGACAAGAAGGCCCTCTAACGAATTCTTTCCTAAGGAAACAGAAAGCATCTCTCCCGCGGAGATTCGTAAGCTTACATGCGGCCTTTAATATGTATCTATCGGCGACTGATGCCAATAATCATTTAATCTTAATATACAATAAAAGTTTCAAGTAAACAGGAATTGCAAGGGTCTCGCAGTTTTCACACATATTTCCAGACCTTTTTCTTTTCACACTCAAAATGTAACAGTGATGAATGTGAAAGCACTTGTAAAGGCAAAAAAGTGCGTAGCAATAAAAACAATTTTACCGATTAGGGTGAAGACAGCTTCCTTAATGCTACAACATGTACGTGACGGCTGACTAACATTTCCCTCAACAATCACGCGCTTGGCGACGTTTGAACTGCATATTGCGAATGTTCTTCAGGCGGTGATATCGATTCTTTTTTCTCTTGGCTAATCTAGCACATTGTTATGAGAGTTTTTCTGTATTTCGCCAGACCTCCTACCCAAGTAACGTTTTCAATGGTCTTTCCCTGAATAATAAAAACACTGTCTTGAAGGCTGAACGACTTTAGATGTAAACAATTTCTTAAGTAAACAGAACTACTACTTTGTCAGTTTACAGGTCATGCAAAGTCCTACTATAGCAATAATAGTAATTAGCATATACTAAAACAGTAGAAAGCGCTGAAGGCGCACTCTTATTGGCAACTCAAACTCCGATTATTCTTTGCTTTTTTACCCCCGAGCAACTCGCGCAGGATTTGCGCCCAAAAATATTATAATCATTGCAGGAATAAATGAGTGGTTAAGGTCATCTTTTTGTGCTGTATTATCTCACTGTTTTAGTAGACACTAAAACAGCTGATTCACCTTAGTGTTGGTGGTTAGCGGTGAATATTTACCGGGGTCGCTTCGTGGTAGTGAAAAACTGTTCAATAACCAGTGACATAAGATAACTTGGATGCATCTCAGAAGTCAAAAACTAAAATCTTGAAAGAAATACATGTTTTATCAAGCGCCACTCAATGTGTTCAGACAAGACAAAACAATAAGAAATTAAAGATACCCTTATTTTCTCGCGATTCAGATCACAGTAGTTGAACTCCCTAGTGAGTTTTCATACTTGTTTGGCGGCCTGACGCTTATTCATGTACTCATTTTTTGTTTCACAGTGAATATTATTTTTTCAAAATGGTTCATATTTCTATAGCGAGAGATTTAGGAAAAGAAATCTGCAGATTAAACTTGTCAGCATTCAAAGTACGTGAGGACGATTGGGTTCTTTGATTAACGTGAAGTTAGCGTCTTGACAGAAATGTAAACAAGCCTGTATGAGGTCTCGGCCATGCAGAGCCAAACAGTGAATAGTTACATCTTCGAACCAACGATGATCACAATTATGCGAAATGGTTTGAAACGACTGTAAAAGTTCAAAGATTATACATTGCAGCTGCTTAAGGCTTCTTTTAGCGGCATTTGGAAAATCTTCAACTGTGGAGAAATAAAAACTTACGTGATCCAGAGAATATAAACAGTTCACAACCTAAGATATATTAAAGTTCACAAGGCCACCAGCAGGACAATCAGACATGGTTCGGGGTGAAAAGAAAGTCAGTTTTGCGGCTTGCCCTTCAGGCAAGCTGTACCTAACATCTACTAGCCCGAAAGTCATTTTTACTCGCCTGAAAAAATTTTTTCGCAAGCAGAAAAAAAAAGAACTGTTTTGCTCTCGACGCTGCCACACTGTAGAATTTTTTCCAAGTCCACCGCAACACGTGAATGATTAACAAGTATTTTAGACATTTAGAACTTAGAAACACGTTTTTTGAGAAAAAAAACGGCGTTGAAACCGTGAAACCAAAGTTGTCAATGGACACACTGAGCGACAACGTCGACAACACGAAAAGCTGCCAGAGAAAGCGCTTCATTCTCCAATTTGCAGCCGAAAAAAATTCCTCGCCGGACAGGAAAGATATTTATATTATTAAAGAGGATAAAAATTTGTTAGCTTTCATCAGTTTAATTCTCATTCAGTACATTCAGAAGATCATTTTTCTGAAGAAGGTTTGTTTGAGATTCGGTTTCACATGTCAAGTTTCAGTGAACAAAAATGAACAACAATGAACAAAAATGTTCGTTTCATTTCTGGCAACTTTTCATCTGAAAGATTTTCGTGAAAAGTGAAAACGATGTGGTCTATATATTTTAATCAACAAACACCAACGGTATTGGTGTTTAGAATTTACCATACTGAAACGCAAGTGACCAATATTTGCTGAAACCTTAATAAATTTCTCACAGGAGTTCAGGCCAAAACCTTTTGTTTACGTTCCTCACAAATGATTATGAAGCAAAATTTTGACAAATAGTTTTCTCTGAATTAATAAGAATTAGTCACGGGCAACATTTACCACCAGAGTTTTTGTCAATATCTACTTTTACTTTATGCACGGGATCTCAATATGTCTCGTCTGACATGTAATGCGATACTTACGCAGATTTCACTTCGTCGGAGCGACGTTTGGTCCGCATGAATTTATTAGGAATTTAAAATATTTGTTTTACAGTACTTCTGTAATTTTAGTACTCCGAAAAATATTCGCTTGCCCTTCGGGTAAGTTAAGCACAGAATTCACCAGCCCGATCGCAAAATCCACTAGCACCGGGCTATCGGACACGACTTTCTTTGCACGCCGTGGTTTCATGCTACTCGGGTTTAAAGATTTAATGGATGTAACCGAAAAAGTAACATACATTAAATCTTCTACTCAAATCAAAACGTTGGGTCTATGGATATTAAATTAAAGCAAAGATGTTTGCAATACTACACCGGTTACCAAAAGGGGATCAAAGAGAGAACAAATGAAAAACATGTCCTTCGTGTATTGACAATTTTTTGCAACTTAAATCACAACAAATTCTTATGCTTTTGTCTCTATAAAGTATGCTGACTTTTTTACTCTCTCTCTCCTCTTACCTCTTAAAATGAGACTTGAACTTAATGGGGACTGCAAAATTTGACGCTTTCCTTTCAAGTAGCCCGCTTGCACTCCAAGTGGCTTCAGTATCTATTGCTGGTTACACAACTTGAGAACACACTGTCTATCCAAGAAGTGATCACCTTTTCAGGTGATAAAAATATATTTCATGAAACGTCTACAGCAAATAACAGCAACAGCAACAGGGCCACCCTAGTTTGCATGGAGGAAAATCTTGAGCAATTCTTTGCTTTTAACTATTCCACAGCTAATTTTTCAGTTTCCATTAAGTTGAACTAGAATGTAGAACGTAATTTAACTAGTGCGAAGTACTTGGAGAACTTGATTACTAAATATTGATAACCTTGCTATAAAATTCATTGAGTATTTTGTAAATTAACTAAATAGGATTTAAGTAACCATTTGAAAGATCTTATATTGTTAGATTCAGTTACTGAATGAGGCAGAGATTTCCACAATCTTGGTCCTTGGTATAAAATTGTGAATTGTTTGATGTTACTTCTACAGACCAGTGGGGACGGTATAACTCAGCACATCTAGTAGTCAGAAGAACTATGAATGAGTTTATGAGGTGGATTAACTTCACTCAATGGTAAAACAAGTTTTTAAAAATCAACTCCTAAGGAATGCTTACTTACTTCATTAAAAGAAAGTTTTAAAATGTTGTCTTCTTCAATTTGAGCTGTAGCTATACATGTAAATGACCATGTATTTGTGATCAATGAAGTTCACCATATGAATGACCAAAGTTAATAATTCCTGTCTTGTCACAAGTCATTGGTTGTTTTCAGATTTAAAAAATGAAACACTTGCTTAGACTCTTAAATTTCCACAATTAGTTTTTTCATGATTCACATTGGCTTTGAACTAATAGAAACGCGAAAATAAAAGGTAGTTTTATAGCTGTGAACTTAAAAAAAGCTATGAAGTGGAGTTGTATTTTTCCCTTCGATTTTGTTTTCATCTGATAGCGGTGAAAACAGGAAGGCCGCATATGACCTCGAGTTGAATTTGCCGTAAAGGATCAGTATCAGAGGAGATCCGGAAGCCGTTAAATTACACAATGACAGGAGAGTTACGAAACTCATATTCACTCTGGTGTTTAGTGCCTGTAATCCCTACGTATGCAGCCAATCTTTACGCAAACATAAGCGCTACTAGAAGAAAACCTTAGGCTTGATTGTAAAGTCAAAAGCTATTAAAAAAAGTTGCGGTTGTGGTAGTAACATGTCGCCTTCGGTGGCATTTTCATTTGATAGGATAGGAAAAACAGGAAGGCTGCACATGATCCAATTTTGTATAAAGTTAAAGGAACGAGGGTAAACGAACAGTATTAGAGGAGACCCGATAGTCGTGAGTTGCCTCTGCGACAGGAAAATGAGGAAACTCTTATTTACATTGGTTTTCAATACCTGTATTTCCCATGTATCCGGCTGATCTTATGTCAGAAAGCCTACGGCTTGCTTTCGAAGTTAAAAGATACCATGTAGGCGGGTTGCATTAATGACATATTCCCTTCCATGGTATTTTCATCTGAGAGGAGATGAAAAACGGGAAGCCCGCATATGATCCCATTTTGTGTAAGTCAGAAGGAAAGGTCGTAAAGGATCAACATCAAAGGAGACCCGTCGTAAGTTGGCACTGTGACAGGAAAAATAGGAAACTCATATTGACAATGGTTTTCAGTGCTTGTATTGTCTACGTATCCAGGCGATCTTATGTTAGTTTAACAACAGCTCTCTTGGCAGAGAAGCGGGCTAGACGGGAATTGCCACCGCTGTAACTGCCAGTCTAAAAATAAGCACAATTCAAAAGCCCTTGGGAAAATAATCGCATTCCTTCTTTGTTCGACTTGGATTAAATTGATGTGAAAATAGGAGTTTTTCGACAAAGATATTTTTCGTCTTGTCACGGCGTGGAACAAAGATTCGAACCCAAGACCTTCGGATCCTGCGCTCCGATGCGCTACCACTGAGCCACAAAGACTACAGTGAGGGAAGTCTACGAAGTTCATATGACGCGCGTCCTGCATACTGCTTGGATCAGCAACGTCGATAGCGTCATGTTTGTAAATAGAACAAGAGAGATGGTAAGTTTTGAGCTCCGTAGAGAAATATAGAAATATGTTTTTCTTCTTGTCACGAGCGTGGGAAAAAGAAAAACACTTTTAATTCCCCATGAGGAATCGAACCTCAGACCTTCGGATTCCGCGCTCACCGTAGTCTCTGTGGCTAAGTGGTAGAGCATCCGAGCGCGGAATCCGAAGGTCTGAGGCTCGATTACTCATGGGGACTCAGAGTTTTTTCTTTGTCCCAAGCTCGTGACAAGGCGAAAAACATCTTTCTCTATTTCTTTGCCGAGCTCAAAACTTATCATCTCTCTAATTCTAGGAGTTTTTCGTTCGCAAAATATGCTCAGTTTTAGCTTAGAAACTACGACATGTCAATAAAGAAGAAAAAATTGATATCCATAATCCCAGCTGGTTATGGTACTAATAAATACGAAGGATTATAACAAACGTTGTTTCTTTGCTCGAAAAGGAAAGGACACGCACACACTCATAAAACATCTACAACAATAGCAGGTACTAAAACAAACATATACTTAAGCTGCGTGAGAAAAGTAAGAAAAAAATAATAAATGAAAAATAAAGAAGAATAACAAAGGAATCAACTTAGGAGTAATGTTCGCAATTTAGACTTACACAGGGAAAGTGTGCCAACATTTTGGATTTCTATATTCAAAGAATTAAAAAATTTATTCTTTGGAAACATAACGCAAACTGTTTGATATTTGTTCTGCAAAGGGGGTATGCAAAAGGAATTCACTGTCGGGTGTAATAGCAGTGATTGCTACTCGAAAACAAAATAATCTTTAAAGAGCATCAGGTAAACGGCCTATCGAACAAAAATATGATATTTCCTATTTGAAATCGATATATATATTGTATGAATTTTCAACTGCTTAAATATAGGTTTAGTATGAGCGTGAAAAGTACTTCTTGATGTAATTCGTACCACCTTTGTCTGGAGTAGGACAGTACGTTTCAAGGTGGATGGATAAGTGGAGCCCCATACCCTAATGCAATAAAGAAAGTAGGGATAAACAAGACTATTGTGAAAGGTACATAACGTCGAAGTAGATAGGCAGAGACTGGCTTTATGGATTATACCAATGGATTTTGAAACTTTCCTTAGGATATTAGCAATGTGCGGTTTCCATGAAAATTTTTCGTCAAGAATAACACCTAAAAACGCAGACTCTTTGACTCGGTCAATAGTCCATTGGTTAATCTCTAGTTTAATGTTAAGATTTTCCCTTTTCTGTCTTGGTTTGAAAACCATGAAATTTGATTTAATTATCTTTATCGAAAGCCTATTGGCTCAGCACCAGTCTGTTAAGTGAAGTAATTCTTCATTCAATGTTTTCCTAATAAAATTCAAATTTTGATGAGAGGAAAAAGATGTTTGTATCATCAACAAAAAGAAAGAAGTCTAAAACCTTTGAGACATCACACATATCATTGATGTAAACTAGAAAAAGCAGAGGACCAAGAATGGAGCCCTGGGGGACACCACACTTGATGCTTGATTAGGATGAATTAAATCCACCAAACTGAACCAAATGTTGTCTATTGTTTAGATAGTCTTCAAGCCAGTTAAATGCAAGACCGCGAATACCATAGCAAAGAAGCTTATCAAGTAAATTTGATAGTTAACCGTGTCAAAGGCTTTAGACAAATTAATAAATATACTCAATGTTATCTCAATATTATCAAGAGCAGAAGAAATTTTGTCTTTTAAAAGAGCTAAGGTACGTTCAGTTGAATACTGTTTATGAAAGCCGAATTGATCATCGGATAGTATATTTACTCAAATAATAAATAATACGATTGTGGACAAGTTTTTCCAAAATTTAGACAAAGAGCGTGGAACAGAAATAGGTCTGTAATTTGAAAATAATTACTTATCATCAATTTTAAACAATGTTACGACAAGCGCAATCTTTAGTTTCAGGGACAACTCCAGAACTTAGCAACAAATTAAAGACATGAGTCAAAGGACTGCTAATTGAAGTAAAAATTTCTTTGATAAGACTTGTGGAAATATTATCCAAGCTTCTAGCTTTATTAGGTCGGAAAGTGCTACAAATATTGACCACTTCATGCTCAGAAATTTTATCAAAATATAAAGAATTAATAAAATCCTCGGAAAGAAAGTGACGGTGCGATTTTTGAGATACGGGAATGTTCCTAGCTAGACTGGGACCAATATCTGTGAAGTATCTACTAAACTGCTCAGCAATTTGTCTAGGGTCTGATGATTATCTCTCTGTTGTCAAATTTAGATAACGACGGCAATGTCAGTTTCGAATTTTTTTTTGTTCAAGACCTCATTTCCAAGTGCATTTTACATTATTTTTCACCTCTTCAATCTTTTAAGCGTAATATTGACGTTTAGCTATTCGTAAAGAGTGACTGAGCTTATACTTATTGCACTTTTAACGATTCTCTCTTTGGGGAGGTGGGGTTATTAAGAAAACGCTTCCATGGTACGTTCTTTCTCCGAATTGATTTGAAAAGTGCATTAGAAAGCCAAGGTTTGGATGTTGTGTAGCCTTCGGCCCTAACCCTTTTTAAAGGAAAGTGAATGGCAGTGTACTTCTCAAGAAAGCTTCTATAGGCTACGTACGGATCATTATAACAGGGCAACTCCGTCCAGTTTACAGAGCGAGGTAAAGCCAATCCCAGTGAATTCTGGGATTACTTTCGTGCGATGCTCTTTGAAAATGGCTCTATCATTTTTCACGCTTTCATTCTGAGTCCCAGTGAAATGACCGTCTGACGGCTGACACAGAAAGCTGAGACGACTGGTACGATCTCGTTGCAAAAAAAAATGATTTCTAAGTTGAACTTTTAGATACCAAATTTATCAGCCTCAAAATTCGGCTCGCACTGTGGCCTATTTCGTTTACAGTAAATTGGTAAAGAATTTTAGAATTTTTGATAATTGGCTTTATTTATTATATGAGCTGCTGCCGTTTGCAAGAAATTTAAAACATCAAAGTTAAGCAGGTCATAATTGCAATGAGGCACGGTTTGATGTTGATTTATGCATCTAGTAGATAGTTTATAATCTCTCACTATGAATCAGTTATGCACAGTATTCGAAATGGTGGACCGAAAATCTATAACTGAGTGTTATTTAGCGTTTCTTTGACGCATTATTAAACCCCGTGCTCATTCATCAGTGACACTGTAGTCCTCCTCACAAGAATTTCAACGAGTGATTCAAAACAGTCTCTTATTAGCAAACTAATTTTTCTCACAGTCGACATTGATTACTACATAAGAGTCACCCACCATGAGAGATAACAGAAAATGCAGCATTTATAGTATGGCACCAGCAACCTAAAATAAAAAGGTTTTCTGATCTATTTGCTCCACATGCATTTCATTTCGACTGTTCTTGTTGCCGCCTTAAAGCTTGCCTAAGAATGAGTTTTTATGCCTCTTTGGTTGGTTTTTCAATCAGAGATGCTGTAGTGGTACCCGAAAAATAATTTTCATTGAAATTGGTAATGTTCATGCTCATATGCACCTTCCAGTTTCGTAACGAGAAGACATCAAAGCTTCTAACGATTTCATGTCGAACGATCTGTAATGCCTAAACATCTCACCGCCTTGAAAGTTCGATTGTACCGCTCTGTCCCAGTCTCCTTTGTAGCTCTCCTTAAAGGTCGTCACACCACGTACTCTTCCTTAAAGTATGTCTTTCACGTATTTCACTTCATCTCCTGATAGCGCTTTATCAACCACTATGAGATCTCTCATGTACCCATCAAAAGTCGGTTTATTCATGTCGTCTCGTTTCAAACCAATGTCGAAAACTGTATGATCATTTTCGTTCAGGTCTAAAAGAGCACTAGAAACTCTCCTGCTACCTCCTATAATTCCATCAATGAACAGAACTCCCTCTTTTCTGTCTCGGCTCCAGGTGAACGCCACGTGCATCCATCTATTGGGGATGATCTTCCTTTGATTATGAGAGAACATAAAAGGAAATGAGGCTTTGCACAAATCTCCGCTTCTCAGTAGACTTCTCACGAGGATAAATTGCTCTGAGAAACATACTTGAGTGCTCTACGTGTCTCCTCCTATTTATTAATATTACGTAGGGAAAGAAAAGGTATATTTTAAAGCTCCTATGACACGATCATTTTTCCGTAAATATTTTTCTTATCACATGTACAAACCAATTCCGAGAGAATAAAAGTTTCTTAAAACTAGTTTTTTTTCGGGTCCTAAACTGCTCTGTGTTGTCTTAAAAGTGTCCCGTAGACTGGTAACGAATTAGCGGGTGATGACGTAGAAAACTGTGAAAACTCTCCGTTGACACTCAAAAATCTTTCACATCTCTTGTAATCTTGTATCAGTCAGTGTTTAAATACTCTTGAAATAATGTCTGATAGCGATGTATACCTACCTTCAGCAAGCTCTACCGAGAGTTTTAATAAATCGTACTCAAATGGTGAAGAAGAAATAGAAGTTGCGAGTACGGTTAAGCCCTACGAAGGAGAACCGCGTGCAACAAACGAAGATTTCCACGGAGACTGACTAAGACGGTTGCTCGCGTGCGGTGTTTAGGCCACGATTACAACAAAAAACCCCCGTTACTGAATGTTTAGTTTGTTGCGTTTGTGTTTTGTTTTCTATGGCGAAATCTATCATAAAAAGGAGGAAAACAAGAGGTGTATCTTAAGCACTTACCAGCAACAGAAAGAATCCAACATTTCACGTCTACGAGAATTTCGAAGATTAGCACAAATTGAATGATGTGCACGTGAAGAAATAAAGATTCTGAATTGATGTGGTGCTGACCAGTCAGAATAGATATTAACTGGATGATTACTTGGAAGGCTCAAAACTTTTATCCAACACATGATACTGAAGCTGATAGCTCGAATCGGGAGTGCTGGGGTTTCTGCATAGGAATGCTGGGCTCCACTCAGGTACAATACTTTCCTGCCATCCGTATTTTGATAGGAAGCATTATTGTACAAACTTTTCAATTCATGAAATTAAGAGAGATACATTTGTTAACATGCATAGTATACCATGTGAAATCCTCCTTACAAGTAGCTACTGAAATAATTTCACCATAAACTGGAAGTATTTAACAGCGTTTCAAGAAAGGTGATGATCCTCTCCAGAAACTATTCGCTGTATGAGAAAGTCGAATTTGAACTATTCACAACAATAGTGTTCCGATAAGTTCTTCCTGGCAGAAGAAAGCGTTCTTTCATCTTACCTCACATTTGGATCAGACCCATTAAGTGCCCAATGAAAACGAAATCTTTTAAATCCTGGAATTAAAAAAATGAATACTGGTGTGGTTTTATCACGATTTATCAAACATCAGACATTTTTTGCTTTAAGTTTTAAAGATGTTTCTAGAAATGCGAACGAAATTTAAAGCAAACCAACAAAGACAAATAGTCTAGATGACAAGTAATTGGACGATTTGAAATAATTCCCGTCTTGTCCGACGAACTGCTTGATGTAAACAACATCTGCAGATACTACAGAGCACTAAATGTACTAGAGCCCAAGTTGGATAACTTTTTATTTTTTAAGCTCATGTACCTTTTGCGAAGAAGAGGCTTCTTATTAACTTTCATCCTTCAAAAAGGCGGTGAAAGAAATCCTGTCATAAACCTCGCTAGTGGTATTGCAGGATCCTACTGTGGTCGAGCTTACGGTGAATATAAACTTTTAATATAACATGTAAAGTGTACATGTAAACACGTAAAGTATCATTTTGTTTCTGACCAGTACTCCATTGCGAAACTGGGTGAGATAGAGTTCATTGGATCTTTATAAGAAACATATAACAATAGCATAACTTCCAAAAGTAAACAATGTTAAAAAAAATTATAAAATTAAAGAAAAAACCAAAATATTGGTTTCTTACTTTTGCACTCTTTGCCATCCCCTGAAAATCCAGCTTTACAAGTGCAGATAAATGAGCCCACAGTGTTGTTGCAGTACGCGTCCGCTGAGCAGTCATGCGATCCAGAGGAACACTCGTCCGTATCTTCAACAAAATAATGAGACCCTACGTTAACTAAAGATTAAACAGTAGAGAATAATGCTCTCAGTAGGACTACTATCAAACCATTCTCTCGATCTTATTTTAGTATGAAAAAAGGTACTACGCTAATGGTGAACGGCGACAACCAGACCGCTCAACCAACTATTTCCACAATCTATGCTACTATACTGTTAAAACATCGCACTTTTGTTTGTCAAATTGCACAACTCGAAGAATTAAATAATTGTTCACTAAAATACAAAGAAATGAGTGCAGGTGCGAAGGTGAAGGCTTTTTCTTAGGTCGTAGATCATCACGCGCAACGCTTTACGTTAAACAGGCATAACAAAGGGTATATAGCGATAATAATAAAAACCTCTTTCACAGCTTTCAGTTCTAGTCCAATTAGCAGGACAAACGCAGCGGAGTTTTCCGTGAATAGTTGGTACACAAGAAGCAGCTGAGGGACAAGGAGATGTGCCACATAACTAAATTAAATAATTGTTCACTAAAATACAAATAAATGAGTGCAGGTGGAAAGGTGAAGGCTTTTTCTCAGGTCGTAGATCATCACGCGCAACGCTTTACGTTAAACAGGCATAACAAAGGGTATATAGCGATAATAATAAAAACCTCTTTCACAGCTTTCAGTTCTAGTCCAATTAGCAGGACAAACGCAGCGGAGTTTTCCGTGAATAGTTGGTACACAAGAAGCAGCTGGGGGACAAGGAGATGTGCCACATAACTTCTGTTGAAAACGAAAAAGATAAAAAAGATTTCCAAGTGATATTTCACTGAAATTAATATATATTATATGCCGGCAGGGAGGTCCGTATGGTGAAAACTGTGACCGAGGTCTTGAAAAGGCCGAGGTCACAGTTTTTCACCATACAGACCGACCCTTAGCCGGTAAATAACATATTTATTTTTTTTAAAACTTAACGAAATACATTCTTAAAGAACCCGAATGATTTAGGGCTATAAATACGGCAAGATCTTACCTAAACTGAACAATTTTTGAGCGAGTATATGGTAGTTAAAGTAGAGGTGATACAAATTAAAGAGAGATGCTTCGCTGAAACATTTTCACATGCGTAATGATAAAGGTGATAGGTGGTAGGTGATAGGTGGTTATTTTTACAAGCCTGACACCTGTCAAGTAGAGAGCGCGTAAGAAAAAAAAAAGCGCAAGAAGATTTGAAAAACAACGGAACTAGTTTGGCAAGGTCTTTCACGACAATGTTTTCTTAAAAAACAGTCAATGATCTAACGGAAAGTATTATTC